ATATGTTTTTCATATGATTTTTTCTATCTAAAACTAAGATTTAAAATATTGATTAGTATATATTTGCTTGTTTTATAATGCAAATCTTTTTAAAATGTTTATGAAACAAAAGTTACACGTAAATTTTTTTCATATTATGAATCGCATACATATGAAATAAACACCTTGTGAAACAACATGTTAATCAATTTCTAAATTTTAGTCTTAAATATAAAAAAATCATGTGAAACAATACATTAAAATAAAAGTTCTTGTGATTATGAAAATATATGAAATGTTTAAATTATTAAACCCTTATAATTAATATATTTGGTCTTTGATTATGATTATGATTATGAATCAAATTGCCTTTCATAATCTTCGTAGCAACTTACATTTTTTAGTCACATTAAAAGTTGTACAACCCGACATGAATAATTTGAATTAAAATACAATAAAATTTATATTATAATTAAAATGTAGAAGATTTGTACTCTAAATCAATTTGATTATAAAACTAAAATAAATTCAGATCAAATTTTGACCTTATATTATAACATAATTTTATAAATTATCCAAAAAATATTAGATTTATGTGAATTTGTTATATTAATGTTTTTTGCAATCATCATTCTTTTTTGGGATTTAAATATAATTAGTCCCTGAATGATTAAATAAAATATTCAGTAAGATCCATAAACTTTATTAAAACAATTAAATTAATTAATCGTGAAATTGTGTGCACCTAATTATAATATATATATATATATATATATATGAGTTATTATACAACCTTTTACATTTGTATAACCAATACAACTCAATCTCAACCGTGCATTTAATTTGATAAATATGTGATTTCATAAAAGTTTTAATTGTTTTCTAATATAAAGTATTGATAATAATTAATATTCAAATCAGAATAAATGAACCACCATCATTTCTATAAATATCTCAATTAATTGGATTGCATTGTTGTACAAATGAACATGGTTGTATTTGAAATATACCTTTTATATATATATATATATATATATATATAATTTTTTATTAATTAGTTACGTAGGTATTCAAATTTCAAAGAGAATAAATTCCCTACAAACAGCATCTGGTTTGGTTTGATAGAACAAATATGGATATTGAAGACTGTGTCAATTGTCATCGATTAGGGTTTTGAGATAAATATGCATTACGATTCCTTTAAAAATATCTTCACAAGTTTATGTTATTTTAGAAAATTTAAAGATTTAGAAAATGTTTATTTTAACATTATACTAAAATATCCTCTAAAATAAAATAAAAATGAAAAATGAAAAAAAAAATTCTAAATTTGAAAAAAGAAAAATAGCATACGTGTTATGAGTCGTTTACGAAACGCTTACTCAATTAAGTGTTTATGAAATCACATTACCTTAACAGATGAATATAACAAGGAACAAGAATATCATCCGGTAAAAAAAAACAAGGACCGAGAGTTTTACCCAGTAAGTGAGGGTGACGACTCTTACTATGGTTTGTGCGTACCAGGTAAATTGTTGCATACGATACCGTTTTGGTGAACTAAAATCTTACCCGATAAATAAGCGACGGTGTTGAATTTTGCCAGTAAACACTTACCCGGATAAACATTTTGTAAACGTCTCATTAGATACTCTTTCTAAATAATTAAAGAGTGAATTACAAATTTGGTCCCTCATGAATAGCTACTTTTTGGTTTTCGTCCCTCTGAAACATAAATAACATTTTTGGTCCAAAAATCGTGTTTTTTAGCCCAAACTTGCCCCTCCCACTAACATCGTAGAGGAGGCCCTATTAAGTCCATAATGTGCTTCTTATGTGAGGGGGAGTTTGGTCATTTTATTCTTCTTCCTCGCATCTTCTTCATCCTCAACCATGAACACATACCACTGTCGATCACCACCATTGCACAACATCGCTGTTCACCACCACTGCCATCCACAACCATCATCATCTACAGCCACCACCTTCCACCACTGTCATTCACATTTTCGACCACAATCAAACACAAACACGAAGTAAAAAACAAGATCAATACCACAAAAAAACAAGTAATAAGAACATATATCTTATAAGGATATTACATGAAAACAAAGAAAAGTCCATTTGAGGGACCAGACCAAGAATCCAGAGTCAACTCTCATTCATACAAATCAGATTCATGAGAAAAACCTTAAATCTACACCTAAATCCAAATTAAAACCAGAAACCCTCTTTAATAAAAAAAAACCCTAGATTTCTCAAGGCATCTGAATAATAGTTCAATCTTCATCTTTTTTTGATTCACTGACGTGTTCTTCAACGGAATGCTCAAAATTGAAACCATTGAGTTCGTAAACCTAGACCATATAAGAGGGAGAAGAAGCTCAACATAGGGAGAGATGTGGTGTGTGACTGTAGATCAACATAACTTCTACCATTCTCGACATGAAATATGGAGCGATTGTAGATCGACGGTGAAGGAGAGAGCCAAGGTGTCCGACGATGGTGAGAAATCCGTTGCGACTAAGAGAATGGATTAGGGTATCAACATGTGCATATCTTGAAGAAATGGGAGGGGATGCTAAGGGAATGGTTTGGATTTCAACATGTGTAAAACAACAGATCTTGAAGAAAGGGGGAAGGGGTGCTAAGGGTATGGGTTAGGGTTTCAACATGGGGAGAGGCGACTAAATTTTAAAGGGTTATTAAGTTAAGGATTTGATTTTGTTATTGATTTTAAGGATTTGATTTTGTTATTACTTTTGTGTGTTGAGTGGGTGATGTTCTTGATGAGGGTGGTCGTGGATGGTGTTCTTGATGAGGAAGGACGTAGGAGAAGATGGGTAAAAAGACCAAAATTCCCCTCACGTGAGGGACACATGATGAACTTAACGGTGCCTCCTTTAGGTGTTAGTGGGAGGGGCAAGTTTGGGCTAAAAAACACGAGTTTTGGACCAAAAATGTACTTTATGTTTCGAAGAGACGAAAACCAAAAAGCAGTTATTCATGAGGGACCAAATTTGTAATTCACTCTTAATTAAATAATGAAATTGACAATGTCACATATTCCGAAAATTGCATCTTTCTTATATACTATACTAAAAGAGTAGTCGTGTAATGCAGCGAAATATATCTCGATTTTAATTTTTCATTTTATTTTCTTGTATCTGTCGATTTTATAATATGATTTTATGTGTTTTTGAGAAATCGATAGTGTTTTTATGTTTGAATAATATATAAATTTGAAAATCTAAAAAAAATTGAAAAAAAATATCAATATTGGTATTAAAGTAACTATTTAAAAGTTGTCGTCTTTTTATCTAATTTATTTTAGGATTAATAACAAAGTAATTTATTTTCGGCTTGATTATATAATTTTTTATAAATATTCTATTAGAACTCAATTATTATCGTAATTATATTTTAGATTTTTTTATATTAAAATGAGATGTTTATCATAGATTTGATATGTTCATTTGTAATTAGTTACACGAATTCAAAATAAAGCTTTAATAAGTTATATAACAGACAATTTATTTGTAATCTTGAATTTTAAGTAATATGCATCAATAAACAATATTTAATGCATAAAAATGTATTTTAAGAGTTTTTTTTTTTATCAAATATATACATTAGTTTGTGTATTTCTCGACAATGCATACAACATGATATAAAATTTGTTGTAAACCAAAAATAAAAAAAAGTATTACACATTTGTTAAAAAAAGATAATCCAAATATAACTTACATCAAGAAAGAAATATAATTAAGTGGTTGTTTTTATGTCACACTTCTCCCAAAATGCACATCTCCTGGTTATATTACTCTTATCCCAGTATACGTCTCTTTTGATTATGTTACACTTATTCAAATCAATTGATAATAACGTATCAAAACTCAAATTATACTAATAATAGCATGTAATCAAGTTTTAGAACACCCAAGTATGAAACAAGAACCCATACGGTTTATTCACCAAAAACAAATCAAATAATAATTTTTAAACTAAAACTCGCATTGTAAATACAATTAGACGAAGTCTTTAAATTAACAACTACAAAAATCATATAATTATCACGTAACAACTTATTTTCTTTTCTTCCTTCCGTTTTGATCGAATCGAGTGACCGAGAATACTCTCACCAACTTTCTCTTATCAAAACCCCAAGTAGAAAGAGAATATCTCACCTACACATTTTAATATAAGAGGCGGTGTAAGTTTAATTATTTTAAACCAACTTTTAAAAAAGACACCCCCTTACTTTCAAACTTTTTCAAAAACACCCCCAAAACTGTTTCACGTATAAAACCCGGTTATCACATCATTTTAGGCGTTAGATATATATATATATATATATATATATATATAGACGTTTTAGCATTCTTTGAAGACATGACAACGTTACTCCACGAACAAGATACTGTAACATCCAAAATTTCTACGTTGGCATCAAAATTATATGTCATTAAAGCTTAATCAAGATCATAATTCATAAGGTAATGGTATCGATTACCATAACTTCTGTTATCAGTGGTGGACTCAGGATTTTTGCCCGACAACTGCACCTTTAAGTTGGTTCAAAGGCTCACAAAGTCACTTGATGTGCCTTTAGCCGAATCCCAACGTTTTGAGGGATTATTTTTGGTTTTATGGTTGATTTCAAAGGATTTTTAAGTTTTTTAGTCGATTTCGAACAACTTTTTTCAGTTGATTTCGAACAACTTTTTTCAGTTTTTTGTTTAATGTTATTTATATTTTCTAATATCTCGGAGCACCTCTCAGAGTTTATTAGGCGCACATTTCATAACTCAAAAATATCTTACTTACATAAATGAGTTGAGCGGGTGTACGGGAGCTCAATCGGACATATATAAGTCCGCTCCTGTCTATTAATGTCGTCTAGAGCATAACTCGAAACACTGTTTATATCGTCTTTAACTATTCAACTAAAATGATGATTTTCTCTATGAAAAGGCAAAAACAATAACAAGGAATTGTTTATTTACAAAATTATAAGTCTTGATTGAATAGAAAATTAAATCGTTCTTCGATCCCTTCGTCTTTACATGATAACTCAACAACTAATTAAGTGTAGCTTGCTAATTAATCAAGCAGGTCGATTACAATATTCATCTTCGATCATGGTCGCATACAACATCAAATTAAGAACACAAAAGGGTGGAGTTGTACACTAAACATATATAGACTTGGGATGATATGAGACCAGACTGTTTTCATATAACACTGAACCTTCATAGCCAAATCTTGTGTTACAATGTTTTTGCTGTTAAAGTTCGAAGTTTTTTTATCTTCACAATATTATGCTGTGAAATTTCAAATGCTACTTTATGGTCTCAACTGTTTTCGCGTGAACCCAACCCTATATAATATATATATATCTATGGGGGTGGTCTGATGGGAAATCTTTGGTGTGGGAATCCTGATGATGCTGCACCACTATTGCTATTACTATTTGCATGCATTTGGTAATACTGTCCAGATGAATCACTTCCTCCGCCGTGTGCACTCAACTGCATATATATACACACATTCAAATTACTTCTCAGCAGGTTATATTGTAAATAGAAACAAGTGAAAGAAAGAGAGAGAGAGAGACTCACTTGATGAGTCAGTGAGTTGATGGGTGCCGAGTTGAACCTATGAAGCATGGTGGGGTGAGAAGGTCTCACAAAATGCCCATATCCATTGTTGCCCATAAGAGATCCAGTGGTAGGAGAGTTGGAATGAAGGTGTGTCTGGCTCAATACCTCAACTGTCTCCATTTCATTATAACTTTCATTTTTCCTTCCGTCATACCAACCCCAACCAGATGCCTTTTCATTTACACATGTAAATTAATATGATGGTCAGATGTAATTAAGTTTTCAGCAACAATAATTTATTTGATACGTACGCCATACAGACATCTGCTATGTGACTGTCTGCTGCTAATTACAAATTTCCAAAGTGAAAACATACCGGGGGTCGACTGAAATCAAACTGAATCGCTTTAGAATGATCATGGCTTGATGGGATTTGATGATTATCTCCGAATTTGATGCTTCTTGGCTCGTTCGAACTGGAACTACCCCCTAGACTCAGATCAAGATTATGATCTGATGACGTCTTACTGTCTGAATGTTATGAAAAAAGTTAATAAGATAAACTTATTGTCATTTTTGGAAGAATTAATTAAAATAAATGTGTTACCAGAGGAATGGAGCTCATTCTCGTAGGTCCTGGAATCAAAATTGGTGACAGCATCCTTCCCATTGCATTTGATTGCAGCTTTATCGTAAGCCCTAAGTATATTTTAGTTGCAATGATAAGATTGACCCCTCGAGTATCGAAGATTGACAGTTAAAGTCTCTCAAGAAAACACACATTTACCTGGCAGCTTCAACTTCAGTGTCAAAAAGACCCAGATACACGTACCTGTTATAAAGAAAAAAACAACCAAATTAGTCCATGGACATTATTAATTGAACCAACCCAAAAATGGCAAAAACCCACAGATCCAAAGTGTCTTGTTTCTTGATCTTATGATAACTGGATAGATGGTTCTAGCCATATAGCTAGGCACCCTAAAAAAGCCAATCTTTTTTTCCTTTTCTATATTATAAATTTCATCATATATATATAATTGGGTTAATTTAACGATCATGTCGTGCATAACGATCAATTTTGAAAGATTGAGAAAAAAATATACATACTTCTTGCCTAAGAATTGGCCCATTCGGGCTTCCCATCGACCACATTTGTGCAACGTAACACCTCGATATTTTGAACTGCCTCGAGGAAAACCGGTACTTTGTCTTCGAAGTACATGCACAAACTCTTCCTTTGTTAAATTGTTCGTCTGTTTTTGATGGATTGAAAACAACATATCATCAAAAATCAAAATCAAAATAAAAAACAAAAACAAAAACAAAAATAAAAACAAAAACAGCTAAATGATTGTTAGCGAGTACTTATACCTTGCTAATTGTCTTTAGCTCAGGAACAAGAAGAAAGAAATAAAAAGTGTTTTTTGTGTTTTGTGGTGTCTTCGAAAACATCAACAAATTAAAAGGTGTTTCAAGATAAGGCTGCAGCACAACTATTCAAGATAAGGTGAAACTTAATTTACAAAAATTAATAATCTTTTTATTTAATTAATTAATTTATATATATATAACTCAAAATTAAACATATGACCAAGAACAAAAACACACACCTGTTTTAGGTCCTCTTCATAGTCGTGGAGGGTAAAGTTAATGTCAGCCTCCACACCTCGGAACTTGATTGCTGCTCTATCATAAGCACTGCAACCGTAGGGATTTTCTTCATATATAATATATAATAATAATAATTTATATGTATTTAAATTAATCTATAATTTGAGTTTCTTTTGTGCTCACCGTGCAGCTGCATGTGCTGTGTCAAATCCACCTATATTACCGTATAAATTATACAAATTAATAAACAGAAATAGCAGTTAATTTATTTCAAAAATAAATAAATAAATAGCAGTTAATTAGAAAACAAAAATAGAACATACCAAGATACACCTGTTTCCCACAATCCCTGAGTCATCAAAACATGATTTAATTAGTTCAAAAACAAGGTTTATAGATATAAAAATTAATTATAAGATATGTTGGTTTTTTTTAAATAATTAATAATGAATTGGGAACGGAAGAAAATGAAGTAAATAATTAAAGAAGAGAATTAACCATATGTGAGATTCCCATCGGCCGGTTCGCCGGTAAAAAGTCACCCCACGGTACTGAGAGCTTCTAGAGCGGGGTCCACGGCGACTTTTCTTGAGGGGTTGAGGGATATCAGTGACCTTTCCAAGATATCCACCGGCGACAACAGCTCTGAAAGGTGGTTGTTCAGACGACTGGTGGCAGAATTTCATCTCTCCAACGGAGGTGGTGGACCCCACTTCAGAGTCATCCAAAGGGAAGAATTGATGAGTGACCGGTGGATTGTAGTCCCAGGACGAGTTGTCAGTCATGGAGAAGCCGAATAACCTGCTATCACCGGTGGTTGTTCGTTTTTTAAAACCACCCTTGTCGGAGTCTTGATCATCCTCGTCGGAGCCGTCGTCCTGATCAAAAACTTTGACCGATGAGCTGGAATTAGATACGGATCCTCCGACCCCTTTACCCTTATTATTATCATCATATTCCTCCTTTTCTACCACCGGTGAGGAACATCTCTCTTGGTCGTCATGATATTTTCTCCGATCAGGTGACCCGTTTAGATCCCACATTATTTCTCTCTTTCAAAATAAAAAACCACTTGCAGCTCTGAAACAACCTCTTTTAATCTCTCTCTCTCTCTCTACATTTGATCATCAAATGGGATTGGGTTCGTTTTTCTTTCCTATAGACATATATATATATATATATATACAAGTGTGTGTATGTATATATATATACTGTTGTGGTGGGGGGTGGGAGGCTTAATTGAAGGGTAGGTAGAGGGATGTTTTTAGCTAGGTTCTCTTCTCTCCCTCTGCTGGTGGATCTTGTATCTGTAAAAAATTTCTAGGCTTACCCAATACAGCATTGACGGCTAGTTTTTCTAGACCTTAGCCCAAAGCAGCAACTCTCTCTCTCTCTCTCTATATATATATATATATATATTCTCCTCTCTCACACACACTCTCTCTATCTCTTTGTATAAATATCTTGATTCACTCGCACAAACACACACAATTGATGTGTGTTTGTATTTATGTAATTGGGGGAGAGAGAGAGAGAGGGGGGGGGNGGGGGGGGGGGGGGAGGACCATCTCTTTCTTACACATCTCTCCCACGTTAATCAAATCGAAAAGAAAAAGTGGGGTGGTATTTTGGGAACAAAAACAGGTTCGTATTTTTTTTAAATTAAATAACATATCATTTGTTTTTTTATAAGAAATAAATAAAAATATTATTAAATTAAAAGTAAACTCTAATTTTGATAGTTAAGATTTAATGAAATCTTTAAAAGTGGGACATGAATTTTGATAAATCAAGAAATCTTTCTTATTATTTTCATTTTGCTTTAAAAGCGATCCCTAATCACTAATTAAAGTTAGAGGTGTTTTGGTCTTTTTCTGTGTTTCCCTATTTATCTTCTAAAAGTGGTCCTTGGAAAAACCTTGAACCCATCTATGTATCTTTAATTTTTAGAACACTAATCCAATATAGAAGCTTTCGTTGGTGCTTCAGTTTCGTCGATGTCAATACAAAGAGAAGAAGAGACTACGGTTTCGGTTGGTGACCAGTCACTGGGTTTAGATCAGAAGGATAGAAAGAAAGGTCGGGTTGTAGTTCAAGTCGACAAACATGGTTCTTGATCCGGAGAAGAGAGGGATTTGTATATGGAGAGTTGGTGGAAGGATGGCCAGAAAAATGGGCAATCGATTTGGTTTTGGGGTGGCCGGAAAAATGGGTGGAAGGGGGAAGAAGACTATTGTATTATTAATTAAACATAAGACTATTTTTGAATAAATAAAAATTAAAGCATAAGTCTAATTTATTATTTTAAAATGATAAATATTCAACAAAAATCCTTAGAATTTGAAACTTACCAAAACATTACCTTTTTTCTAAAACAAAAATAAATCAAAATCAAAATCAAAATCAAAATCAATATTAAAATATATTTATTTAACTTTAAAAAAAATATTTATTAATTGTAACCAATAAAATAATTCATATTCCTAATTTCCCGTCTATATATATATATTCAAATAACATGTTAAATTTATAAGATTTGATAAAGTAAATATTCATTTATAAAAGAAGTACGACATAATAAACGATAAAATTAATATCCATATTATCAAATATTACAAAATCAGTAGGTTACAAATTAATAAATAAAAATAAAAAATTTGAAAACTTGTTACATTAAAGAGGGTATTTAAAAAAAATTATAAAGATTGAGAAGGAAAAACTATAGAAGCTAAAATAAAATTCATTATACTTGGATACATTTGTTGTAATTTTTAAATCATATAAACCATTGCATGTTTACTACAACAAAATTTGTTACAAAGGGGAGTATCCACTATCCACTATCAAACATTAAAAATATAAAGATGAAGGTGTTTTCATATTTAATCCAACACTAAAACATCAAATTAGAAGTAAAAAATTAGGGACGGACTCATATATATATATATATATATATATATTTAAATGGTGGTATCATTTGGTTATAAGAAACAAATATAGAGAAAAAAAATCTCAAATGATGGTACCATTTAACTATAAGAAACAAATATATGATTTTTTTATGGTGGCACCATTTGAATACAAAAAACAAATGTAGAGAAAAAATTTCAAACTGTGACATCATTTGACTAAAAAATAACAGTAACATGATTCAAACTCGGGTCTGTGGTGGAATAAAAACATTGCAAACTAACTCTACCAAAGAAAACTTGTTCACATTGTAGTTTCAAAATACATACGATGACGCACAATAAATTAATATGGTTGCACCTTTTACAAACTTATTTTTTTTTACTCTTCGACAGAGAAATAATACAGTAGCACGTGCCACCGTTGGCACCACTATAGGTCCGTCCATATAAAAAATGTTGATCTCTATATTTAGAGGTCAATAAAATAGATTTTTATAAGAATATATTAATATAATTTCAAGTTTTTATAATTATATATAGACTTGGGATCATGTGAGACCAAGGGTTTTTCATGAGACCCGTAAGACCAATTCTCAACCCTTGAATTAGATCTATAATCTAACAATTTGTACATTCATAAATGCCACGAGACTTCTCAATAATCACAAAATTGCCACCGTGCAACTGTAGATCATTAGTTCATTAGCTTATAAAGTTGATTTATGAACATAAATTGATTTTACGGATCTCACGAAAAACCTTTGGTCTCACGTGAACCCAACCCTATATGTGTGTGTATATATATATATATATATATATAGATTAAAAATTTAATATATTAAAATTATTATTATTATTATATCTAAGATAATTTTTTAATGTATGATTGGAGTTGTTTTTTTAATACCTATAATTTTCAGTATTTTTATGGATTAGAGATTCCCTAAACTTGGGGGCAAACTGACCCGGGTCAACCTTTTAAAAACAAATTACTTTACCTTCCAAAACTTTTTACCCCACACCCATTTACAGCTCCTACCCCACTACAAATGTGGTAATAAATTTTTTTACCGCATACCACTTTTACCTTTTCAAGAATATTATCTTTTAAACTTTAATCCGCTTATAAATGTTACGAATGAACGTATATGATAGTTTTTTAATACATAAAAACTTAAAAATCACAAAATGTAATTGTTTATCATGTATTTTATATTTTTATATGATTTTTATTAAATTTTATATTATGTTTCGATCTCAATTATTAATTAGAATTTATACATTTATCACTAGTTAATTTAATAAAATGGAATTCTTGTATATTACTGCAAGTTGCGGTCCATAGTCCATACATATGTAATGGTACTAATTTTTTGATGAGGAGAAGAGAGAGCTGACTAGAATGTGAATTTTGACAGATAAAACAATTATTTACGTTAAAATTCCTAATTTTATATGTCAAAATCAACGTTACTAATAAATGTAATGGGTAAAAAAATAGTTGTTAAACAAACATCATTATGATAGTTGGTATGGATAGATAAAACCAAACATGGATCAATTATTGTTTAGTGTTCAATATTGTTTTCTAAATGTGTATTTTTGTCAAATAAAAACAAATTTGATATGTAGACAAAGGTGAATTTAAGGAGGGGTTAGTAGCCACATTCATCTGTCACGTTATAATGGAAAAAAATGTAACTCTTAAGATGACAACATTTTGATTTGATGTGTTTCGTCATCATTGTTGGAAAAATTTAAGTGCTACAATAGCATATTGAGACTTAAATTTGAGTTTTAATGATTAACAACAATAGAACAAAGAAAAACCTTTATTATAAATCGCTGAAATTCATGAATCTGAATTTGTAATTGTAATTATTTTAATTTATAATAATTATTTTGGGTTATAAAAGATATGGATTTGTCTCCGAAGTTCGAGCAATAACCCTCTAAAACACTAAATTGTTAAAGCCCTTTCGGACTAAAATACAAATCCTTTCAAACCGCACAGCAAAATTTTTACCTCTAAAACCCTCATTTCACAAAGATTTACGGGAAATGAACAACACACGCTAGATTTGGTTTTCTTTACGACAAAACAGAATTTTTACCAGTTATTTTATTAGTTGATTCGAGGGTTTTAATCACAAGGGTGGTGCCTGATTGGTTTGAGTTTAGCTCCAAAGGTCAAAAGTACCAGAAGATCTCAGGTTCAAATTTAAGGAGGAATAAAAATTCCCTTGTGATTACGGAGGTTCAAATACGGTGACTCCGAACTATCTGCAAAACAGGTGGTTACTCTTGAATTAGTCGGCTCAAATAGCGGGTTGGATATCCAGGTTAATAAAAAAAACTTTAAAGAGGTAAAAAGGGTAATTTGGGAAGATGAAAAATGGAATAATGCAAGAAATGGAAAACTTTCCCAAATGTCCAATCCAAGAGTACGGGAAACCTCCTTCATCTTCAATAATACTCTCCTTTTTCTTTTTCTTTTTTCCCTTTTTCATTTTTCGTTTTAAACCCCTTATTTTTTATTTAACTTTTTCGAGAAAAAAAACCCATTTTCCCCCAAACTCCTCGTTTTTTGGAGCGTTTTTTCACACTACCTTTTTCATACCCTATTGAAAACATATATTCACAGCTTCTTTAAAAAAAAAGGTATAATTAGGCTATGGTGTCGTTGACCAAACGCTTACCCGAGTAAGCATTTATCAAGTCACTTTACTTTATCGGATGAATATGACAAGGACTAAGAATCTTACCCGGTAAGAACGAAGACAAGAATCAAGAGTGTTACCCGGTAAGTGAAGATGACGGCTCTTACCATGGTTAGCGCTTATTAGACAGTTATACCCGTTGATGGATAAGATTTGGAAGTAGTTACATCTATATTAGAATCAACAGCAATGTCCAAAACTCTGGTTCCACGGCCCTGGGTCTGATTGCTCTATCTCTGATCCAAACTAAGTCAATTTTCTACCAAACAATTTTAAGAAGGTTTCAATGAAAATACGCTTATCTTAAATGAAAATTAAATACGCTTATCTTAAATGCATTAAATATAAAATATTTTTTCACTGAAAAACTGAATCATATTAAAATTATAAATATGATAAAAATAGAATCTTAAATACATGTTTTAAATAACTTTTATATAACTGAATTACTTTTATGTCCTCATATATTTATTTTCAGAATTAATTATTTGAGGTATCATTTAATAAAATAT